TATATATATATAATATGTAAATTTATTTAGATACAACAATGTTTTTACAACCAGTAATATATTATATAAATATTATATATTTAATATTTATTTGTTTCTGTACATATTATATCAAGGAGCAGTTATATTATGACTGCTCTGTGATACATATAAATAAAGAGTATTTATCCATGAAAATCAAGATAGCTCACCAACTTGACAGAGACTACCAGTGAAACAAGGAGGACAATCACAAGTATAAAGAATACAGTTATCAGCATCAGCAACACAGGTTCCTCCATTTACACATTTGCTGTGCATACAGATATCAACCAATTCTAGCAGAAATGAACATTAACCAAATATGAAATAGAAAACAAATAATTGTATTTAAGGGCTATATTATAAGACAGTGTATTTTTTAACAACAACGCAAGGAAACAAGCAAAAGAAAGTTATCAGAATTAAGTGGTAAAGTAATAGATAAGCAAAAATTATTAATATTTTGAGAAATGTTTTTATCATACTTGATATAGTTGGTTGTTTCTGAATTTACCTGTTTCACAGTATTGACCGTAGTAACATGGAGGACACATACAGAGGTAGTTAGAACAGGTATCTGGTACTTCAAGAGCAACACACGTAGCATTACTATGACAACTATGATTATCACAAGCACTCACACCTAAGAATGGGAATGAATGATTGTATATTAAAGTATTGGAATTTAGCAGCTGAAATAATGAGTAAGCAATCCACCAAAAGATTTATTTCGACTTAAGGCCAAATAAAAAAAAAATATTGTGTTGGCCACGCCCGACCAACCCAAAATGTTCGAAATTGAGTCAGCATTTTAATGTTTTTTTTAAAAGGGCCGGAATAGGCCTATCTTGCGACAGTAGGCGATGCGACAGTGTTAAGCGATCGTTTTGCTCTCCAATATAGATTTAAGAATGGTATTTGTTGTATTTTTGTGTATTTTCTACTTTGTAGGCATAAACAATTTTTGGTCAAAAAAAAAAAAATAAAATAAAAAAGTTGACCTACCGACCTACCCACCCATTTTTTGAATTTTTCCAAAACATGGCCAACACAAGATTTTCTTTTTATTAGTTTAATTAACCATGATATCACTTTACTCATAGGCCTACAATTATACCATACCACGGAAATATGCTTACATTAATTTTCTTTAAGAAACGAAAACACATAGGCCTACCAGGATTGAAAGATTTTAGGAAGAATAAAATACAATTTACGATTGTAATAATACAACAGTAATTTCAGTGACATTTTGCCTTTCTTTAAAAGATGGTTTGCTTGATTGACATGTGGTTTCTGGGTGTTATTAAGAATATCTTCTGCTAAAAGGATGGTGTATGGGACGCTTGGTCAAAATCAATTTTCCAGTTTCTTCTGAGTAAGGCACAAACAAGGAAGCATTTTCATTCACCAAAGGTAATAAAGCAAACACAAACTAAGCCTACCACTACTTACGTGTACCATACTGCATTTATGCATTGGAAATGATTATTTTATGAAATATTTGTTATATATTAGGTTGTGGTTTAAAATGCTTACAATGAAACCTATCATACACAAACCTATTTCACAGTTGGTTCCAGAAAAACAAGCTGGGCACGAACATGAGTGAGATGAAACACGATCATTACATACACCTCCATTCAGACAAGGGTTTGATGCGCAAGCGCTCACTGAAATCAAGCAAATGAAATACCCAGTGCTCAAAATTCAAGCACTGTTTATAATTATTTGAACATTTGATATTGTAATCCCAGCACAGCACTTTAATTTAAGAAGCAGAATATTTAAAAAAACATTAAGAAGTCGTCCTTAACACAATAAAGTAATTAAATAATAAAATCAATAAACCAAAATAAACCAATTTAATAAATAGTTGCATCAAACTGTTAGCAATATTGACTTTAAAATAACTTTCATATTTACATTGACATGCTGTTTCACAGTCTGCAAGGGTTTGAAAGTTGTTTTCATTTCCTTCACAATGGTATGCAAATACTTCACAATTAGCGGATGTACTGTTGTAGTAAAAACGCAGCACTGGCAATTGTGGGCATGTTCCAGCCACCAAAGGCAAAGAACAGACAACTGAAAGATGATAGTTTGGGTAAAGAAAACGTGTTTATTACTCATAAACTGTGTTAGAATCTCATTTCAGAAAGGTCGGTAAACTCACACCAGCGGTGGTGCCAGAAATTTTCCGACAAGTAGCCCGACGTGTCCAACGGAGGGGTCCGAACCAAAGGGCCGACGAAGCCTCAGTCGACAGCCCGCTATAAAAAAAAAAATCCCTTGTAATGTTCACGAGGAGGGTTTCTATGGCTTAGCATGGTCCAAAATGTGATTTTGGACCACAATATTAGCGTTAATTAGATAAGCAAATTATTATTTTTTATACTTTTGATCCGACGACCTAGGCATTCGTCGGACGACAGGGGTTCGGGCTAGTCCGATGGGGAAAATGATCTCCCTGATTCCCCCCAGACCCCACCACTGACTCACACTTATGTCAAAATGTTGAGTCAGAATATGTTTACAATAGTTCATAATAATAAACACAATATTAAAAAAATGACCTCATGATGATGATGAATATAAAAATATATATTACTTTCAGTAATAATAATATTATTAATAATAATAAAAATAATAATAATAGTAATAATAATGTTAATTTAGTGCAAAATGTTGGAGCTTTGATGCGCTTAACATTCAGTATTTCAATAGAAATTAACCCCTCACTGAAAAATCACAACCCCAGACCCCTCCCCCACAAAAGAAGAAAAAAAAGTAGTGTTTGTTACTCATAAACTGTGTTAGCATCCTATCAGAATCATGTGTCAAAAATGTTTCAAATATTGAATAATACAATATTAATAAATTACCTTCTTCACAATGTTTGCCTGTGTATCCTGAAGGACAATTGCAGACGAAACCAGAACAGGTAACAGTAGATGCAACACAGTAGCCTCCATTTTTACATGGAGAATTAGAACATCCATCAAAAGCTTTGATTATTTTAATGAAAAATTTATGAAAATAATGGTAAAATTATGTAAACCACATTAGATATGTAAAGCATATAAAATTCCAATATCTGTAATTCACAAAATACATAAAAGCTAAATTATTTGTATGAAAAAGAGAGAGACAAGTGGTCTAATCATACAGGCCTCTGTGGTCTAAACAGTATGACGCTCACCGAAATAGCGAGGGATTGCGGATTCGATTCCCCCCGAGACATCTTTCTCATACAACTATAATAAAGAACTTTCGTTGATAGATTATGGTTGATAGGATTTGTAACATGATGTTCGTCTATATTTGAGCACTATATTAATATTATTAAATTATTAATATTATTTTTATCTATTTGATTTACACATTTTTTTGTGTTCCCAATACTAAGCAGCAAATTTATTTAAATATTATTTCCCATGATTAAAAATTCACTCCATTATGTGCGAGCTCTCAAATTGTATGGAAATGAGAGAGAAAAATGGTCCAGTGGCGGCTATAGGATATATTTTCTGGGGGTGAGGGGAAGGCCTAAGTTGTTTTACAGGGGGACTTGAGCTCGTAGGCTCGAGCTGGTGGAAGGGGCTGAGAGGGGTTCCTCTCCCAAATGAGATTTTTTTAAAGAATAGCAACCTCTGGATGGCTGGAAATGGCACTCTCAGACTGTGACAGGGCTTGGTGTGGGCCTATTTTTATGTTTTATGGTCTGACTGCCTGACGAGCTCTGTCCGGGCTTGACTTAAGCCCCCTGTCTCCCCACTGGTGCCGCCACTGTACTGGTCCTAGATCCGTAATGATATCGTAAGGGCCTCTGTGGTCGAAACAGTATGACGCTAGCTGAAACAGCGAGAGATTGCGGGTTCGATTCCCACCAGAGACATTTTTTCATACAAATATATTTTAATAAGGCGTCTGCATAGACTACAAAAGGTCCAGGTTTGAATCCCGGTTAAGGCACCTATTTTTTCACACTCACAGATTCCTCTTCTTTAACGTTCAAAATTGGTTTATTATAGCATTACCGCAATACTAT